CTTCTAGAATTTTATGGGCTTTCTTCATGATCTTGGGGACAGGCAAAGTTTATGTTTTCATAAACAGATTACATAAATCACTAACAATGAAAGAAAAATTGCTAAATTAGACTCAGTTAATATTAAAAACTTTTGTTCTTCAGAAGTTATTATAAAGAGGATGAGATAGAAGATACTATACAAGTATATTATACTTGGATTCTGAGACAAGTATCAGTAGAAGTTACTTGTAATACATATATCTAAGCAAATTAGCAAAATAAAGAGAACTTCACAAACATCAGACACGTTGTTAATGACAGTGTTAAATTAAGATTCCTGCCTTCTGAAGTCTAAGCCAGTGTTTCAATTATGTCATCCAATTCAGTTTTGAATAAGTTCAATTTAATCTCTGTGACTAGGAATAAGAAAGCTCTGTGCCTCATTTTCCTTATTTATGAAATGAGAATAATAATGCTATAGGGATTAAAATGACAGAAATAAAATACCACAGTAGCTGATACATACATCTTTTTTAAAAGTTCAGCCACAGTGGTTATGGTTATAGTGATTATGATGATGTAATTAATAAAATAATTATTATGTGATAGCTTTACAAGCTGCCATGAGAAACAAGAAAGGGGAAAAGGCATTATTAACTGAATGAAGCACTAGAGATAGCTTAGCTAAGCTTCAGAGGACTAGCACAGTCAAAGCCATTGGGCCTGGTTGCAAAGTAAGCCATGAAAGGGAAAGAAGGAGTGATTTAAGAAAAGTCAAGAAGTTCCCTAAATAACAAAACAGCAAAGAATTAAGATGCAACTATGTCAGAGGTCTTCAAGTACCAGGCTAAATATTACAGGATCTGTACCTCTAGTTTCCATCACTTTTCTTACTAGGCAAACCATGGCCACCAGATGTGGAAATCAACAGGTGCCTACACAACTTCCCCATTCCGGTAAGTTTTATCAGCACCCATTTAGAGAAGTTCTATAAAGTTTTGTCATTATTCTTTACTCAAGTGAATAATTAGTCCTTGAATCAGAAAAGAGTAGGCCACAACATACTTGCTTGAGTCCATAATGATAGACATAATATGTACATAGATTTGTACATGAAGAGAAAGAAAGGGGAGAGATTTACACAATACTAGGTGGTATAAAAACACTAATATGACTAATAGTTTAGCAAAGTAGCAAGATTGCTTTAGTCAGTGCCTATCCCATCCTCCAGACAAACAATATTTATTCTTTCAAACACTGATCAGATGAAGCCTAAATGTACTATCCATTGTTAAAATTCATGGAAGGGGGGTTATATTATTACTAGCTAGCAATTACAATTCTAAGTGAAGTGGGTAGTGATATCTTTGCATAATATTGATTTACTATTTCCAGGTTTATTCTTATACCAAACAAACACAAAATTATGTACTTTTATTTTTACTTGAGAAAATTGCTGTCTCCAAAGGGCCATTTGCTATCACAATTTTAGGGCTAATTTGTAACTAGAACTATAGCTTGTATTATAGTGATTTTAAAAACAAGATTGTGGGCACTCATAGTTATGACAGTAGTGAAACGTATTGAGTTGTCACCCACAAGTCTATGCCACGTTTCTTAACAGTTGTGTTTGTCTGTTCACATATATACATCTGCTATTAGGCCATAGCAGGAAATTTGTTTTTTACTTTACTTTTATAGTCAAATTTTTAAAAACAGCTATTTGATAGAAAGACTTGAGGCTTTGGCATCCAGCAGGCCTGAATCTGAATGCTATTCCCACTACTACTATCATCTAACAACTTTCTGCAACAAGATCCCAGCCAACTTGCTCTCATATGCTGCATGCACAAAGCAACCTTTTTCTCAAATACAAACTCTCCTTAATGGTGGCAATGGGAACTTATTGCTGACAAGAAAACTACTATGTAAATAATGATTTGAGGTGAAAAAAAGGAACTTCACTGACTTAACCAATATCTGTCATTACTTAGACTAACTAAACTCCGTGAAGATGGACATCATAATTTCCCCAGCACTCAGTAGAGAGATTTGAGATAGTAGATACTCAATAAATATTTAGATTACAATAATTGAGTGAATAAAAGGCTGAATTAAATAAATGACAACCCTGTGGGAGATACCTAGAGCATGGAGATAAAGATGGCATAAAATTTGCTCTATAAGAAAATCAGTATATATTTTATTACTGAATTTATGTTTATGGCAAATATTTATCTAGTATCCAGTATATTCCAAGCACTTTGCTAGGTACTGTAGTAAACAAAACAATCACATTTGTTCACTAAAGGTGGAGAAATGTTATAAATAGTCACATAAATAGTGATAGGATTAAAATCATGTTAATTGCCATGAAGTACTGGTATCACAAAATCATACAATAATAGGGCTAATTTACTGAAGAAAGAAGTAAAGGAAAACTCAACAAATAAATTAAAACAAAACAATTTTGTAAGAAACCACCATTTAATTCTTAAAGGTTAAAAGGTTTTTTATTTTCTGTCATAGTAAGGGGGAAAAAAGAATGGCCAATATATCTTGGTAGATCAAACAAGGAGGAAGCTGGTAGGAAATAAGACATAGAAAGGGATCAAGTCATGTAGACCCCCACATCAAACCCTTCCTAGGGATTTTTAACCATGGAAAACTGGAGAGTGATATTGTCATATTTGCATTTTATAAAGATTGCTTGCATGTTCTAAGGATAGAGATTTAAGGAAAAACAAAAGGTGTTAGGAAAACAAGGAAATAGGGCAAAGTCAAGAGGAAATCCTAATATTGGCAACATCTTAGACATAAATCCAAAAGAAAACCTGGTAACACATGAAGTGTAGAAGACAATGAACTGTAGGGAAAGAGAAGCATCAAAGTGAGCACTTAGGATTTGCCTTCAACAGTCAGCTAGAGAGAAAAGAGCCACTGTGGAAAATGAAGAGAAAAATATTGATGGTGGTGAATGATCAATATAGTAGTAGATTTGAAGTGCCTATAGGGTGTCTCAGTGAAGATGTCAAGAAAGCCGTTAACACCCTCCAAGATTCTCCCCAAGTATGACACAAAGCCTTCACTGTGCCCTGCACACCCCTTCATGATCCAGGCCCTTGCTCTTTTCTTGTCTCATCTCCTGGTTTTTTCTCTGTCACTTTGCTACAACCAGAATGGCAACCTGAGTGTTTCTTGAACATCTCAGGCTTCTTTCTGCCTCAGAACCTTCACATTTGCCGTTCTCTCTCTGGAATATACTTTCTGGGGTATTTCCATGGCTCCGTTCCTCACTTCCTTCTGTTTGAAATTTCACTTAATCAATAACTTCCCTGACTTCTCTATCATAAATCCCTGCCAAGCTGGCCCTTTTCTTTCCTTTTCTCTATAATATTTTTCACAATCTGACTTTTTAAATCATTTATTATTTTTGTTGTTTGTCTTCCTTAACTAAAATGCAAAAAGCCCCACAAAGATATGGGCTTTGTCATTTTTATTTACTGGAAAGAGCGCATTCATTAGCAGATGCCAAAACCTGGTTCAGGTCTGAGTTTTTACCCTACTTAGGAGCTAATAGGTCAGCTTGCTACACCTTAATGGATGCTGACTAAAGACACTTACCCCTGGATGGAGACAAGGAATTTTAATTACTTTGTAGCACTTGCCAGGATCTCAGTATTTATTCTGGTTTCCCAAACTCCAGTTTTCACAAGACAGCATGAAGAAGGTCAAGTGGCAGTTGCATGAAAAATGAAATGCATTATGAGAAAAGGAAGTCAAACTTTATAAATTTCCCAGATCTTTTTACCAGGGCAATAAACCCACATAAGTTTTGCTCTGGAAAATGTTGTTTTTATTATGCTAGACAGTAAAAAGAAAATTCTGCCCTTTGTACCAGACAAAAACTTTATGTTATTTGCCAAGGCCATTTGTTACATAAACCCCTGGAAAATGATAGTCTGAAACAAAGGTCATGGATACCTCTACTCACAAGGCCTGCAGAAATGTGAAACAGAATGGAGAATTGTGTCCTGGCAGCACATACCCCATACTCAGTACACAGCTTTGAATGAAATATCAAATCTTTTCTGGGGGGGAGGAAAGTACTGGGAATCGAACACAGGACCTTGAGCTTGTGAGGCAGGCGCGGTGTCACTGAGCTAAATCCTGGCCCTATCAAATCTTTTTGTTGTTTTTTGGTTTTGTTTTACAAAAATATTTTTTCAATTTTTATTTTGTAGTAATACGTTTTGCCATGGGTAATGACTAGATTCCTTCTGAGAAGTTTGTACGTGCACGTAACACATTTTAATTCTTTTTTCATCTGCTTTCCCTCCCCTGCCTCTCTTCCGCCTCCATCTCTGGGTTCTCTTCCCTTCTGCAGAAGATCTATGCCCCTATTTCCTATGATCTATTTTTTATTTTGTTCTTTACATTTTGGGTTTCTCACATAAAAGAAACCATGTAATATTTAAGCTTGTGTGTCTGACTTATTTCACTTAACATTATGATCTCAAGACACATCCATTTTCCTCTGAGTAGCTCAAGTTTATCCTTCTTCATAACAGAGTAGTGCCTTTTGTGCCCTGGCATGCACTTGCTAGAACCATGTTCCTGAACAACTGGTATATTCAGGCACATCCACAACTACAGAGTAGATGGGATCTTTGACTTCATCTTGCAGATAAGAAAACAGGGGTTCAAGGAGGGAAAGACTTTCCTATAATTAAGGAGGAAGTTAGAGATCCAGCTAACTACCTAACCACCAGGACTTTCCCTGCTAAGATTTGGGGCCCACCCTCCCCTTTCACCTTTCTTACCCAGATGGCATTCTCTAATCCTGGAGGCCAGGCCACCACACAGAGTCAATCAATAACCAGGGGCTCCTGCGACACAGCGTGGCAGGTGGAGCCTGTGCTGCCATCTGCCTGTATAACCCTCCAGTCCCAGGGTTCTCAAAAGAAGTGATAGCTTCAGGCCAGTTTTCAACTGACCTCTGGACACAGAACTTCAGCCATGAAGATAACAAGAGTCTTCCTTCTTAGTGTCTTGGCCTTGCTCAGTTTATCTGGTAAGTGTCTTTACATATTTTTAAAATTTGAGCAAAACTTTTTTGACTTGTTGGTTTGCTAAACACATTACCTCCTGCAAATTTGGCATATTCTAGTCTTAGCTGAGACTAGCTAGTCTTAGTTCGTCTTTTGCTCCCAATGAGATGAAATAAAATCAATAGATCAAAATTATAAAAAGAAGATTTTTTTGACATAAATTGAGGAAAACAATTCTAGTGAGAAGTTTCTGCAGGAAGAAAGGTTTTTGTCAGGATGACCCTTTGTCAAGGATATGGTAGAGGAAAAAAAAGTAGGGATAGATCAGTCTTAAATACCATTCTAGGGCTCACTTCCACGGGACAAGTGCTAAAATTAAATAACACTCTAACTCTATAAATGCTTAGAGTTATTTACAAGCTTTAAATTCTCATAGATTTGCATAACAGACAATGATGGCATAACAACAACAGTTACTCGCTAAAAGAGGAATAGTTTGACTGATTAAAAAATTTCTTTCTTTGATCTCCAAAATGTTTCAAGGTATATTTTCCTTCTGCTTGAATAGATGGTGTGCCTAAGTTCCTGAAGTGCATCTGGGAAATGTTGGGAGACAACTCTGAACCCACAAGATTTAGACCAGTTTTGTTCTTATTATTGAAAATGATTAACATTTTCAACCTGATCTTCAATGTCATAGAAGGTTTTGAGAGCTAAATCAGCACTTTGCTGAGAAGAATATCATTTGTTGTATTTGCTAAATATTTATGGAAGCAAAGGTCCCCTTTCCCCTCCTCATGAATATTAATTAATACAAAGAGATGCTTGTAGTGAGCACCTGCTTATCAACTTTTGGAGTAATTTAGATTCTGAAATCCAGTGGGACCCCACAACTTCAGGCTGTGACTATTCCAGGAAATCTCCATGCCCTGAGAGGCTACTGACATCAAAATTAAATCTCACCAACATTTCCTCCTTTGGGTGCTATCAGATCATTTTCCTTTCCCTTCGGTGAACTCATGCAGTTACCATTCCCTGTGCGATGCCAGCAAGACCAACTGTGTCTATTTTGATTATTTGTAAATTCAAGAACTGTGACTGGGCCTATGGTCACTCAGTGTCATACAACTGTGGGAAAAAGCTCTTTGAAAACTGATGGTGAGTTGGCAAAAACCTCCACTTTAAACATTACTTACAAAAGGGGATTTACCTGAAATTGCATCAGAAAACCTAGTTGCTGCTAGTGATAACTCTTTCACAGACAACTGTGTAAATACTCCATCCCTTCATGTTGAGATCATCCCTTTAAGTTGAGATCAAGATACTTTTACTCCACTAATTGAGATATGAAAGATCTAGGGACAAGCTGTGAGAGTGTTAGTAAGCCTTCAGAAGATATTTGCTCAGTGCCTGACACACTTCGTGCAGTGAGTACATAATTTCAATGTTCAATGAAATGAATCAATTTCTCTGATGTACCAAATTATGATACTTTGTTTATAATCAAACTCGTACTTAATTTTTAAAAAGATTTTAGCAGACGAAATGAACAGAAATTGCTCAGATGTCTTCGAAAGGAGACAGAAAGAAGAAGAGGTGGGCAGTGGGAGGGACCAGCAAAGAGGTCACAGTCTTCTATGGAAACAGAAAGGTTCTCAATAAAAGTAGATCTGTCTTCTCCCACTTAGGATCCAACTTTACAAGTCTGATTTATGTTTTCTAGGCAATATTGCAGCTTATTCCAGTGGAAGAAAGGTAACGAGAGTCTTATTATTCCTTATTTCTCAGGCTGAAACTGTTTGATCTGACAAAAGTGCAGTTCAGCAGTCACCTTTCAGTTTAGTCTGAAGTCAGGATGAGTCAAGTATGAAACCTAGGGAGGCTTAAACTGTTAAATGCAGATAGTAATAGCAATTTCCCCTGTCCTCACAGTCCTGTGCTGAAAGGGAAATCCACTGATGTATGGACGAGTTATGTGTAATTGTCTAATGCTTGGGATGAAAGAGAGTTAGTTGTAAGGATGGAAGTGGTGAGAGTGTTGGTGAATTTATGTACACTAGCACTGGCTAGTAGGAGGAGTATTTTGGGTGGAAGCTTTTTCAAGTCCACTTCCTCCTTATATCCAGTCTCGTCGCATTGGCATAAAGCCCCTAATCACCAATATGTGGCTCAATACCAACATGTGGCATCACCAACATGTGGATCATTATAATGCTCAGCAGAAAATAGTAAACTAACTTCTTCCTCTAGAGAAATATTCTAAACCCAACTTTTCCATGATTTTCTTTTTTTCCCAAAACTTAATTTTAATAAATTTGGAGATCAGAAGGGGATTACTGCTCATCACTTCTATATCGAGGGGGAGGGAGCCCAAAACTTCATAAAGAATAATTTTTTTACATGTGTGATGTGTTATGAAGATCTGTTACCATTAGGAATTTAACGTAGCTTGAGAGATGAGGTAAGATGCTTACAAGTGAGTAAGAATTATTTTGAACCATGAAAGATAAATCAGTGTTAGCAAAATATAGCCTGCAGGAAGACTGTACCAGTCGTTAGATGATTACTGGCTCTTACTGCAGTTGGGATACAGAATATGAAGATTCCAATAATGGGAAACACGTCATGCCTCTGCATGCCAAAAGGAAGACCAGTGTGACTGGACCACAGTGAAGGGACCACAGAAGAATGTGCCCTAAGTAGCAGCCAATCTGAGAGACACTAGCACCTGCAGCACTGTAAACATGAACATCAGCCCATTCATCTTACGCAAATTTCACAGTACCTTGATAGCATCGATGAAAAAATGACAATACCATTCCCATTTTGCAGATGAAATGACTTACCCATGTCACACAATTTATAAAAGGCAGCATTACCCAAATTCAGGTTCTTCTGATACTGAGTCTTAGATATTTTCTCTTGGAACACTTCATGTCATTTTCCCACTGTCCTCCCCTAGAGACATTAAAACCACTTTAGAGATTTTTGCTATAAACTCAAAGAACAGGGGACGATGGAAAGTTATTGTGTTTAATTCCATTTTTAGGCTAACTGCGATTATACAATGGATGGATGTCCCAAGATTTATGATCCTGTCTGTGGGACTGATGGTATTAGTTATGGCAATGAGTGCACACTGTGTGCCGAAAATCTGTAAGTACAAATTTTAAATCTGTAAATATAGTTTAAATGTGTTGTCATCAAATATTTATCTTATCCCTCTAATGCCCCAATCAGCATACCAAATAGCATGAATCTTACAAAGAGAGAAAAAAAAACATCTACTTTTTCAAAAAATAACTCTTGCTTTTTTATCCTTCATATATATACGTATATATGAAAACATGACTTTTAATCATTTCCATGATAAAAAACACATAATTTTAGAGTAGTCTGAATTTTTGAAAAGCCTATACACGCTTTAAAACACAATTCTTGGTGATAGCAGTGAATTTTTTTTTCAGTACTGAGGATTGAACCCAGGGATTTTCACTGATAAATCTGCAGTCAGCTCTTTTGTTTTGTTTTGTTTTGTGACAATTACTAAGTCGTTAAGTTGCATAGGCTGTGCTCAAACATGTGATCGCCTTTCCTCAGCCTCCCAGAGTGTTGCGATTACAAGTGTGTGCCACCAAGCTTGGCTAGTGATTTTTGTCTTCTAAAATCCCCTATTAGGCAAATACAAATTTTATAGATTTAGATGATCAAAACGGTACTTTTATAACAATAAATTTCCATTTTCTGAAGTGGCTGTAAGTAAATGAAGAAAATCAATACCAAGTCACCCAGAGAAACAGAAACCCACAGATTTTCTATTTCACCCAACAACTCTGCTTACCACGTTCAGAGCTTTATGTTAGTGGCCTCTGCTTCCTTTATGCTTGTGACTAAGAGAAAATAAGTATGAGCATATGTAAGATAGCTTCTTGTAACTTGTTGCAAATGCCAGCAAATAAGGTACAAGGTATTGCAGTAGAAAGAGGTGGAAAGCAGTCAAGGGGTCAGGAAAGGTTTCATGGAAAGAACACCCTAAAAACAAGGCTCTAAATTTGCGTAGCATCTATAAAGAACATTCCTGGTTAAGTAAAAGTGTGAAACTATCAAAAAATTAAATAGATTCTACAAGTGGCCTGGAAAACACTTAATTATTCTGGGATTGACTTGATATGAAAGATCTTGACTTAGGCAAATGACTCTGTAAGTTCCATTATTGCCCAGCATAAATTCCCTTCCTTAAACCCAAATCTTCTTCTTGGGCTTTTAAACCATCTCAGAAAATTCTCCAAGTTTAACAAGGTTTGTGTGGAAAAAGGTCTCCAGGGTAAGAGACCTGCGATCTGAAGTTTTAGTCCCCAAACTTTAGGTATCCTGCTTTGTGGTGGATCTGTTTCGACAATAAGAACCTTTTTATTTTTTTATTTAAATTATTTTATTGGTACATTTTTGGTATACAATACATTTACATTTATCATTGGGTGCTTGTACCTGTACATGATGTATCTTGGCTCTTATTTTTTCCCCATTCCCTGTGCTCCCTTCACCCCCTCCACCCCTCCCTATTTACAAAGACTTTGTTTACAATTTTTTCCTTTTCTCATAACTTTTCCTTCCTTTTCTTTTCTTTCCCCTTCCCCTTCCACTTCCCCTACCCCTCTGGACCTTTTCAAGGACAATAAGAACTTCTAAAAGGAATTTGAAACCAGTTGTTAATTTTCTCATGACTTGTGCTGTTGACATTAAGATCAAACATATTTCTTTCCAAGAGGAGGATAAAGCAATAGAAAAGCTTTGAGACTTGGGAAGTTTCCAAGTGCCTGGATCAAAAAGCCCAATATTTAGAGTGAATCACTGGGACAGTCTGAGCGGAGGGCTAGGACACCTGTCCCTTTGGCCTTTGAAACCTATTAGCTCCAGCTTTCTCTTTCTATTCTTTCAAACATATATAAATTTGGGAGGAACATTTGGCTGCCAGAAAATGTAACATCCGTACCTATATTTCTCAGATAAGAAAACTTAGGTCTGGAAACAAATATGACTGTCTTATATACGATGTATTTCTTAATATACTGTAGTACCTTCATTTCTATCACCCATTAAAAGTTCCAAACAAATCCATTTCATAGTAACTACAACCAGGCTCTGACCTTAAGTGTCACATTTTGAGATTAGCAGATAATATCAAATGAGTGCTTGCATATAGTAATCTCCTTAGTCATTATGTTCCTGGTAGCTATTATCAATGAGGTCTTCTTCTTTTTCTTATATATCTTCTGAGGGGATCTGTTTTGGCACATTCTTTTCTACGCATAAGCAATGTCTAACAACTTTTTGTAATGATAGGCAGGCTTTATGTCTCTGTTGTCCATTTCACAGCCACTAGCCATTAGCACTTAAATGTACTGATAAAACTGGGAAACTGAATTTTTAATATCAGTTAATTTTTAATTTAAGTTTAAGTAGCAAAATATGGGTGTTAAACATACTGAACTACAGTGAACTGCATTACAATGGAAAATAAGTCAAATTCATATGGTCTGTTTAGATGTTTATGCTTACATACATAACTGATTTGGAAATTGGTAGTATGAGTACTTAATGATTTGGGGACCAAAAATTTAGCCTCTTAAAATGAATCGATGAAGCCCATAAAATGTATGAATGTCAGATATTCTCCAGTAACAGAGAAATGGAAAAATGTAAGTTAGTATTTTCAAGAAAAATATGGGTAGAAAAGATGAAAGAGCTGTAAACAGTTTTATTAAGTTCATTTGCAGGATTTAGGGATATTTAGCTCAGAGTACTTGATAAGGGTGAAATGAGGAAAGCAGAGACAATTTTTTTTCTGGAGAGGAGGATGCTTTGAATGAGCTGGTACTATTTGGGAGGTAAGATTTCCTTTTGCAAGACTTTTGATCTGCAGTCTTCTGAAATAGCAATCAATTAGAAGGTTCAGCAATAGCCCAAGAACCACTAAAATGGAAAGCTGTTAGCTAGAGAAGTAGCATAAGTAGAATAAATGAAGTAGAATAGGTAGAAGTAGAATAAATGAAGCAATAAAAGACTTCCTATTAATTCCAGGAATTCATTGCAACACCTCCTATTAGATCTATAAATTCAGTAAGAATAAATTTTTCCCCTTTCTGTTGAATCTCCAGTAAATGTAATAGTGATAAACTGATTTTTGATGAATAAGTAAATGAATGAACACATGAATGAAAGAGACAAATGAGAATGAATCTTAAACTTCTATAGTTTTAAATAAAACTGACTTTTTCCCATTGAAATTTTCCCCCATAGTAAAGTCACTTTTTGGTCAGTAAAATTTAAGTCAATTTTGCTTTTCAATTTCTTCTACAGGAAGCGCCAGGTTCCTGTCCTCATTAGAAAATCTGGGCCTTGCTGAGAACCAAGGTTCCAAAATCCCTTAAGGTTACCGGGAAGTCTGGCTGGCCTAATTGTTAAATAAAAGCATAGAATACACTTTGTTCTTTCTCAAATGTTTTTTCCTTGAATGCATGTATGATTGTACTGGGGACAGGGGACTTGGACAAGCATCAGAATAGACCAAGTTTTACCAGTATATGAATCCTGTAATTTCAAACAGAGTTTCCCTCACAGTGCCTTTTCCTTCTTCCCATTCTGAGGCCTTTGCCTCAGGATATGTGATACCAGATACCGAAAAACAGCACACAGTAGATCATGAACACATTTAATCCCACAAAGCACTGAACACTATTTTAAGAAATAGGTGAAAACTTCTCAATCCAGAAACATGTTATCCAACACTTTTCACTGATTCAAATAATTGCTTTCAGTTTTCTTGAGATTTAATTAAGCATTTTTTTGCCTGGCACGGGTCTGTGTACATGGACATAATGCTTCCTTTCTGGTAGAATAGAGTTTAGTCCTTAAGTTTTATTAACCTCAGAATGTAAATTTTAGGCTATAAATATAGATCACAAAGAGAATTTGAGTTATTAAGGAAACAAACCAAAAAAACTGTATTTTCTCAAATATGCTGTGGATCAGTTTCTGGACTTAGCCTCAATCTTTCCGCATTAGAGGTAATTCTTCATTAGTTACTAAGGTGAATAGTAAGTAGTAAAGTAGAGCTCTAGGTTTTCCCTGATCATCTGAGATTTGGAACGTCAAATTCCTAAATAAACTCAATCTGTAGAACAATGAAGAAAGATATTTCTTTAGGACTCAAAGGGATCACAACCCAGGAATGGAGACACACACAGTGTTAAATATATGCTCTGACAAGTTACAAAATGGAAGCCATATTTAAAGCTTAAAAACTGAAGGGCAAGGGGAGTTACATCAGTGTTTGACAGGATTTTGGATTGATGCTAGCAAAGAGTTAGTTGTGTTGTTCAGTACTGGACAAGTCTTCAGTTCCTGGACAGTTTCTCAGAGAGGCAAAGCAATACTTCAGTTTGGCAGATTTGTAGAAAACAGTTCTAGTGAGTGATGGGTTGGTTTTTCACTTCAAGAAGTTAGCTTGTATCCTAGCACATGTGTATAAGGAACAGGGTCTAAAGTTGGAGTATGGACATGTTGATTTAACTGACATCTCTTGACTCCATTTTGAGTGCTCTGTACAAGATGGAGGACTTCATTTCAAGACTTCTCTTGGATATCTGCTTCATAGGACTGATGGGTGTGTACTAAGCCAACAGGAGGCTGGATGGGGTTAAAGGGGGAGGCATGATTCTGAATTAATCTGAGAAGTGGACATTTCTACCATCACATCATCCCCAAGTGACAACCTGAAAAAGAAAACAAGGAATATATGTGGGGTTTTTTGAGGATTTATGTATGAGCCATAATAACCCTGTAAGATCGCTCTTCTTTTGTGAAGAAACCTAGAAAGTGAAGTCACTGACTGTCAGAAGCAAAAAAGGTAGCAGAGCTAGACTTTTTATTCAGGCTGACTCCAGTGCTGCTTGTTTGAAACCACAACCACCTCAGATGGATTATTAGTTGACTTTATCTTCTTGCAGAACTATAGACAAAAACCTCCTAGTAATAGGGTCTATATGTTTATATTTAACAGTACTAAATAAGAGAGAAATAAGGAAGTGCTCAAGAAGAAAAAAGTCACTGCAACTACTAAAAATTGAGGAAAGGAGGAGTGGCTACTTAAAATCCTGAGTTTCTGCAAAACTGCACTAAAATGGAAAAGTGGCTAGAGGGCTAAACCAGGCTTGAGATATATGGAATTTCCTGATATAGGGTGGGTAACATATTACCCATTGAACCAGAAATAACAAATTAAAAGATATGAAAGAAGGGAAAGGAATAAATATGAGAAAAGGGAAAAAACTGGAAAGTCTTTGTAAATAGGGAGGGGTGGAGGGGTTGAAGGAATGGAGAAAAAAAAAAAGAACCAAGATATGTCATGTAAAGGTACAAATTCCCAATGATGAATGTCATCATACTGTATTCCTAAAAGACACAAATAAACTTAATAATAAGAAAAAAGATATTCCAAAGCTGGGCTTGGTCGTACACATCTACATCTGTAATCCCAGCATTCACGAGGCTAAGGCAAGAGGACTGAGAGTTTGAGCCCAGCCTGAGTACAGAGAGATACTATCTCAAAAGAGAAAAGGAAAGAAAAGGACCGTTTCACAGTTGCAAAACACCGCTGCCTAACACACTAACATTTCGACTAATTTCTTGTGATGTTCAGCCTATACAGCTCTTGAAGTTTAACTCTGACCACTAGAGGGTGCTGTCATCCGTCTAGTGCCTCAGTCAAATCAGAGCCTAACAGCTCTCACCAAATGCCATGCTAATCGAAGTTGTAGATGCAAGATGGCTTCTGGCATTTTGGCTGTGATGCTAGAGGACACCTGAAGGGTACATCTAATATTAAAGAACTTTGCTGTGGAAAAAAAAAATTTAAATCCCTGACTCCTACAAATTGTCATGTCTAATAGGACCGTTCTGCAAGTCCCAAAAGAAGAGAGATTATAAGCAGAAGCAAGACAACTCCAGATGATCTGCATTTAACAGCACTGCTTTCCTGTTTCTCTGACCCACCAGAAAGCATGTGAAGACTGTGTCCATGTGTGGATTTTTTTGTTTTGTTTTTGTTTTTGTTTTCTGTACTGGAAACCTTGCCCTTGCGAGGCAGGGTGCGGAACCACTGAGCTAAATCCCTGGCCCTCCATATGTGTTTTTTAAAAGCTGATTTACAAATTAGAATGTATTTAGAAGAGGAAGATATCAAAATTGATAAGAATTTGAAACTATCCTATGATGAGTGACTGACAAAAGTAGAAAAAAATCTCAGCTATAAAAGAAAAACCTTCAGAACTCGTTCATTCTGTTAAAAGTTTAAAGGCAACAGCAAGAAAACATAAATGCCTTTTTTTCACTGAGGAGCAAGTTAAAAATTACTAAAAAGTCAACAAAAATAAAATACAATAAAACAAAATAAAATAAAAGGACTTGTTAAAAGCTTCTATATTTGAATGGACTACTGTAGTCATGTGTCTTGTAGACATCTTAAAAATAAATAAAAATGGAAGCCATAGTTTAGATACACCAGAGCTAGTTGCCTAGGTAAATTTAAAAACTCTAACCCTAAACAAAAACAAACATTAGATTTCTTGTTCTTATCAGCATTTTCTAGAGAAATTAAGCCAGTCAGCTATAGATAGATCAGTTTAAACAATTGTTTGCCTTTAAAGGATGTATATGACAGCCAGTCATGAAAAAATCAAGGACTTCCTCCTCTGTGCTCTATAAATTGTGTTATATGTGCTATAGAATTGACGTTTTCTGCTATTTATTCTTCAATTTGATGTTCCTCAATTCATGAACCATTCTCCTTGTACTCTAAATAAACTCAAAATTCTGGTGATCATATTTTACTTCTGACAGATGGTAATAGGTAATTCTACATGTGTAGTCTTTACCAAGCAGTGGAAAATAAATGTTTCTTCGTTTCGCATCATTCCTTGTTGAAGAAAAAAAAGGATTAAGACAAAATTGAAACTTAATGGTATCCAAGCAGAATGGTTATATTATAAATAGAAATGGAAGAGTAAACATGAAGAGAAAAGCTACAAAGAAAATGAGCAAAATACATAACTATGAAAGCAAAAAGGAGAAAATGTCATGCATATTATTAAAAAACAAGGTAAAACATGGAGAAAAGCACCTGAATAGACAAAGAGTGAGAAGCAGGGTGGAAGACAATTAAAATTGAAGGAGCTGTGCAGTGAATTTGGCTCTGGACTGCTATGTTCAAGCTAAATTACATTATTGAACTGTTTGTGTTACATTTCTGTTTTGTTAAAGTCCGTTATTTACTGAAATGAATTGCATATGCTTTTCTTTATAACTTACAACTATAGTCTTGAAATTTTTATATCCTAGAGACATTTAAAAATCTTTAGAAAAATGATTTGACAGGAATTAACTTTAAAAATCTATAGATGTCAATCAGCACGAGGTGAAAGTTGATAAAGAATAATAAGGAAACTAAGCTAACCTGCATGAGTAATTCTATGTGCTAGCCTCTACATTAAATACTGCCCATGTGTTGCTCACCCATTGATGCCTCACAAGGGTCTTGAGATTCTCGCTTCGTGACGAGGAAACTTCCTCAGGATTACAACTTCCTCAGGTTAGAGCCAAACTACAGTTTTTAGCCTAATCACTGTTACACTGTTACTCTCTCACTGCTGTGCTCTGCCTCAAAATTGTTTCTGATTCCTGAAACAGAATGCTGACCTGCTTTTGAAAAATAATCACTCTAAATCTCTGAACACGGGGTGCTCTCTGGCCTGTGCTCTACTCTGGCTGGATTGCCTTCCTTGTTTTACTTGCCTAAAATTAACACACACACACACACACACACACACACACACACACACACACACCATCTTTTCCTTGGCTTATCAGAATGTAGGCTCACTTCCTCTGGGAAATCTTTATTAATAACCCTACAACTCAAGTAAGTGCCTTCCACTTTTTTATCCTTATTTGTGCTTACCAGTTTCTGAGAGTCTGAGTTTGCTAAGATTCGGTGACAGTGAAAGCCCTGGAAGCCTTAAATGTGTTTCCACTTTTTCTTCTTTTTCTAAGTACCATAAGAGTGATATTTGAGTGAATCAATAAATCCATTCCACCTTTGCTGAAAAGTGACTGACATCCAGTAGAGCTAAATATTAAGGACAAACAAATTTTTCCATGGAATTTGTACCATGGCATTCATTCCTGAAACACATTATCACCCAAATCCAATCCTGTCTCCTTTCTTCAACAATGACAAGTAAGGGTGAGGGTGAAGTTAGGTTTAGGAAGAGGGCTAGACTGGTTAGGATTAGGATTATGGTGAGAGTTAGGATTGGAGTTAAAGGGTTAGGGGTAAAGTTCAATTTA